CACTTTCTTTTTTTCTGATTTCAGCACAGCGGACATGCAGACTGCAGTTCTTAGTGCTGCTTTCAAACAACAACGATGTCGGTGCAGCTTTTTCATGAAAAAAAAATCAATCTACTTTTAGAACCCCGATATGGTTTTAATACATATTTGGTTCGTTCACATTGTTTTTTTTCTTTTTTAACAATGTTATTGCAGATTCGGTTTATGAGACAATCTTGACAATACAGTAAACCAACAAGGGGAAATTCACACTTGACAGCCGCTAGCACGAAGTTACCAAATCGTAAAGAAATTGATTTATTCATTTTGAAATAGACTCACGAAAAAGGAAAAAAAGGGGGGGAAATCAAGATTGCGAGGGAAAAATCGAGTACCATAGATGAACGAACTACTCGAGTAAATAAAGAATTACTGTGAGAGGATAATGATATTATAATAATTACATTGGATAGAGTTTGAACCGATAACAATTTAGAATTCAATGGAGAGTTTACGTAATATTTGTCAGCCACGCATGGGTCAAATCGTTCTATACTATAAGAAACTATCTTATAAATATGGCTATCAACCAAGGCTAAGAATAGTTTATGTAATAGTAAAGATAAACGATAAGTTATTTTCCTGTAAAAGCGACTAAACGATTCAAGTTTTATTTTACAACGATATTTATCTCAGAACCTGTGTAAAACCATTTTTTCTTGTGTCTCCTCCTACTTATGGGGCTTATCCAATTTCAAGCTCTAAACAATTACTGCATTAACAGTCTTCCAAAGATAAATTCAAGATTGGCCTAACGTCGGACTTTTTAAGCCTTAACTATAATATCACATTTTTCATAATTTTTGTCCAATATCTAGAATAATTACGATATAATGTTATTCAGATATCAACTACGATGCTAGAAAAGGCTCCCAGCATCATCGGAAGTTAAGTCATTACATGCAGGCAACACTAGTTCAAAGGGAAATCTAATACACATTACCGAGAAATAACTTAATTGAAACATTCTACCACTTCTTGACAACTATACAATTCTGTAAAAGTAACAGTTCCGTCTTGCGTGCGCCGAGTCGTTACGTTTCTGGCGACGGTTACAACATTTGTGCTACATGATTCTCAGTTGTTTTATATAATTACAATTTCATTCCCAGGACTCGATGATGATGTCAAGCACATTTATGTCTTTTTTACAGAATCCCTGTCATTAGGCGGACGGTGCCAAACCAATGCAGTCTGCGCTGCCTTCGCATTTTGGATATGCTGAAGTGTCTTGACTGGGACAGGACCTCGGTTTTTGACATATTGTGTTGCTAAGATATGCCAAGGAAGTGGCGGATACTTTGCGTGCGAAAGGAATAAATCTTGATTTCTTTGGTACACATGTCTCTCTGTTTTATAGCAATGTGATGGTGACGCAAGCAATGTAAACCGTCATCTTCGTCTTCTCCGTCAGGTTGGGGTTGGTTCATACTCCTGGAATTACGCGAGGAAAGACTCTAGCTGCCTTTCTGATTCTCTTGTCCATCTCGCTGTCCAGCGGGAGTTAATGCTTAGGTCATGTTCGGCGATGGAGATGGCTGGCTACTCCGTTGCGTCACAACCTAAGATGTTTGTCGATTTCATACTGATGGGGAGACCGAAGTCCTTGTAAGCCCGGGGAAAAGGTCCATCAGTAACTGTAGCACATACTTAGTGTTAGTTACCAATGCCGCTGTGTCAACGAACACCTTGTCGCTGATGAGACATTTTTGACGTGACGAAGAATATCCTGAAGAGCATGGGGGCAAGGACTTAGTTTTATTTGACGACGCTACTGCTGAGGAAAGACCCGAAGAGGATGCTGGCAAACTGCACTTTTTACCTTATTGTTGGAGTGGAAAGATGTTATTACGATACGTATTGGCGGACAGTCGTTTTCCTGGTAGGATCCTGAACAGGATCTTCTGACAAAACGAAATCCATTGGAGCAGTCAATGATATCGACGCACATGGACACCCAGTGTTGTATGCTCTTCTCCTAGAATTCAAGAAGGGAAAGCACGCTGTTGTCTGGGTAAAAACGTTCAGCTAGCTTCAGCAGGTAGTTATGGATGGACTTTGCAAATACTTTGCCGACGATGCTAAGTAGAGAGATACCGCTATAATTTTTGTAAGTTTTACAGTCGCTCCTGTCCGGAGCCTGGAATTAAATAGTCTCTGTGTCCATCATATCTTGCATACAGCTCCTTCTTGCTAGCACTTGCGGTGAGGTCAGGCTGTAAATAGTTTTGCTGAACTTCTCAGAAGACAGCCCGTGACAAGAACCTCTGTCGCCTAGTGCCTTTTTGATACAGTCATACATGTTTCATATTGAGGCGACTGTCTCTATGTATTCTGGATGTGAATAACTACAAAAAAGGGATGTTAAAAGTTCATTTCATATCACCATGTAATATATTTGTACGTCACTACAGTGATATATCCTTAATTGTTTTTCATTGGCTGCGCGAGTCAAAAACTAATTGTGACACCATAATAAGGACAATGACATTATAGTGTCTGTCATCAATCTCTATTTGATTTTACTTTTCGATGGCTGAATATAAACATGATAAAATACAAATTTTGTAAGTTTTGTGATAAAACGTACCTTAAAGTTATTTTCATTATTATGATTATGTTGTCATGTTGGTATTTTCTTGACTTTTGATTCACTTCAAATAGGATTTTATGAAACTGGTTTGAAATTACATATAATGATAAATCCTTATCTCTATCACAAAACTCGCCCAGATATGTCTTGTATACCCAGGTTTCTTTGTTTAATCATTACCTCTTCTTTTTCCATTAAATATTACCAACTTTTTCAAATTGAGCGTAGGAATTCACATTTTCGACACACATTGACAATTAATTCAAAAATCAAAATTGAAGAAAGGTGGGCACCTGGATGTTATACTCTGAGTTCAATATATTAGATCAACTTGTTGAGACCGATATTTATAACATACCCTTGGCCATAAGTTTGGGACCAGCCATATCTTAAATTGGGCTTGATTTTATTAGCGTTATTTAAGAAGAAAAATGACAACACCACAAGATATATGGGTTTTTTCGGCATCTAACGAAAGTTGACATTCAGAAGAAGCGAAATTTACAAAACCGGAAGTTATGTATCATTTAAAAAAACATGTACTTAAAAAGACATTCCCAAAGGGTTGGAAACGGTTTGACTTAAACGTATTGAAACGTTTAGGTTGTTGCCTCTAAATGTATGTGATACCACAATGAACCATTCTGGAAGCTTGATATCTTTCAGCAGTTGTCATTTATGGGCGTGTTATTTTAAAACACAGTGCGAATATGTGTTTGCTTTACTGATCAAACACATTCAAACACTGACAGCTTGGTGGTATACAGCATCAAATACGAAAGGAGGCACGGAGTGCAAGATTTATTTTTACAAAATGAAAACTCAGCTTTGATTAGATGTTTTCCATATTGAAAATGAAAGTCCCTAACTTATGCCCAAGTGTACATATACTTACAATGTAGATATTTTCTTATTAAATTATTTGCATGTAAATGCAAATTAATACCAGATGCACCACGGGAATATATATTGTTTTCAAGTAATAGAGGTGGTGTAATTTTATGGTCATGGAATGACATCAGAGTATGGCTTACTGTGGTTCTTTTGGTTTACCAACAATATCTTGTTCTTCGCGGTTACATGTTTGAAGGTTTAATATACATGTACACCGGTCTGCAAATCGAATGAAGCGATGTCACTTCACAAAAGGACCCGTCGCAAACGACCACTTTGGAAATCATGCGCATTTTGAAGAAACTAAGCGAGCGTAATTTGGGATTTACTTGACGTAATTTGAAAAACAATCGATCTCAAATTTTGGTTCAGCTCAACGCGATTTCATAAAACGGGAAAGCGTTAAACAGATGCTTATCATGACAAAATATATTTTTATTTATTACGCGTTAGAGAATGCTTCGATCAAGAAACTTGTAGTTAACATAGAAACGTAAACACAGCAAGTTACTGTATTTTATTGTTATCTATAACCCAACCTCCCCTAAAATAAAAACAAAATAACACTTAAAATAAAACCATATATATTTTACCAGTCCGATTAATATCATTTAAAATTGACAACAATCAACAACTACAGGAAAACAAATAGAGTATTTCGACATTATCTGATGAAAGACATGTATTAATGAATTCAATTTAAATTTCAATATTTGGCATGATTTATTTCATTTTATTCATCAAATTGAACATCAATCAACAATGCTATTGAAAATACAATGTTATGAAGTACAACATAAATCAAAATAATTTGTTTTGTGTTACGGAGCTATAACATAGAAAATTAAAACCTCTCTTAATAACCATGTATACACACAAAGCAGTATTTTTACATCTATAATGGACGCTTTCATACACCGCCGCATTGGCCCAGTTGAAACTGACATTGCAAAATTATGTTATTTTTTCAATGTTGAGGGGTTATAACATACAAAAGTGACGAATGAAAATGCTTGATTCATAGAAGGTAAAATATATTCATGAAGTATTAATAATTGAAATGTGAACACCTTAAAGACAGTAATAGAGAACTACAATAAAAAGCAATTGATAATTGAAAACAGAGATATGGAATTGGGAATACTTAAAATATATAATATCTTGGAATATATTGTATTATTTTAATCTTCAAGGGTTTCTGTCGATTACCATTTTGAGCAAAACATAAAATAATCACTTATAGTTTATGCATTGTATATTTTTGGGTTTTATTGGTATCTAACAAAAGAAATTTGATGTATCTGTCGGTGCTAATCTTTAAATGGAACTTAAGAACGCAATATGCTATTCTTGCAAGAGAAAACAAATCTGAAATTCTTGTAACAGATTGTATTATTTATGCAACAAAAATATGTACAAGAACAGCTTTACAGCAAACTACACACAATATCTGTATGATTACTGAATGGCTCTGCTATACAGTAGTGCTGTCTACGTTATGAACAGTAAACATATCTGTGTTTGTCGTTTGACGTGATTGAGGGTATGATTTTAAAGCTATCTTGGCAGATGCTGTGCATTCGTTATCAGTAACGTCCAATTGTCTGTCTTGCCGTTGCAGGCGGTTGTTCCTCGTCTGGGTACTCTCTGTTGACGTTGACGTATGTGGTAAAACTGCTATCTGACCTTCTGCGTTGTTTCTATAAATATCTGGCCTTATTTGGGTGTGATTCTGGCATCTTACACAAGGTAAATTGAACAGGAACGAAAGGAATGGTAACAGTTCTACCATGGACTTACGGATTTCTCTGTTCCTATATGTGTATATCAAAGGGTTCCAAATTACACTGATTTTAGCCAGTATTGTAGGGCAGACAGTCATTTCAGGGGATATAGAAGATGATCCACCGATAACAGTAATCAACGTTAAAGTGGCGTAGGGAAACCATGACATCATGAACGCCACTGAAAAAAAGTAGGTTAAATCAATAATACAACCAATTAATATGTATTTTTTATCCTTGAAGGAATCAAATAAAACAATCCGTAGACTGTAAAGTTGACTGTATACTTCTTTGGAAACACAACAAAGCAAACCTGTGTGTTTTTACCAAACATTGCTTCCTTTCAGTAGTGTATTGATAAAATTACGTTATTAATGAATAAAAGGCAGTATAATTATAATCATATTTTACAGATCCTATCCAGTCGTCAATGAATATACAAACCATACATTTCGTTTATAAATACATAATAGCTAGTTCTACAAATCATCACTTCACAAAATGCATTGTGTCAAAGTATACCACCTTCTACTGTAGTCGACCATGATTTCAAAACGACAGAAATGAAGATACAGATAATCAACTCCAGTTATCCCATTTAAGGATATATTCTGTTAAATAGGTTTTGTTATCTCGTAGACAAACAAGAATAATTAATTTATTAACCAGTTCATTGTATTGTTAACTTTAATTCATCAGGAAAATATTTTTACTCAGAAAACGATATACAAAGCAAATTATGGACAACAATTATGCGATGTCTTTAGCTAGGAAAATAAAGTGAATGCCTGTTCATTCTAGTTGAAAATAAATGTTAAGGTGAACATATATTGTTATAAAAAGTTCTAATTAAAACAGAAAATAATCGTAATATTTGATGTCGGTAGTTATTAATAATTCAATACACAGAAAACATGTTATTGCTTACGTATTCGGAAATCAAAAGATGATGTAAACTTAAACAAGCAGTGAAAGTAATCATAAATTTGTCTACAGCTACAGTGTTCACTTGTTTCAATACAGTCAGTATTATCTGATATCTGATAATTTAAGAACAACGTCAAGTACATGTTTATACTCAATATTTGAAGGATATTTCTCATTTATGTCGTTCATAATCTCAAAGAGATCCTTAATGGTTCCAGAGTCTAGTTGTTTGGATAATATATTTCCATAGCAGGAAAAAAAATGTTGTTGCGTGTAATAGCATCTCTAGAGAATATACAATTTCTGGATTTAGACAAAATCGAATGCCATATGTTTACCATGTTATTTTTTAAAAATTAAATGTGATGTGTTTACGGAGTCAGGCTATCTTATCAAACAGCAATATTTCCGAAAGACGGATAATATCAGAGAGCTTTATTTATACAATTACTGAGATAGTATCCGTTTCGGCTGACCAAGTCAAAGTGTGGAAACTTACATATCATCCATAGGATCGTTTTCGCCACATCTCTGTCCATTTTGGATGACCCGCGATCAGCTTCAGTAAACATCTGTAAGTTTCCACTTTTTCTAACCTACAAATGCGATTGATATCACCAGTTATAGATAAAAGAAAAAAAACGTAAAAGTTATAAAAAATAATACAAATATCTTTTATATTCGGTCGCCCCATAAAGAGAGTTTAGGTCAATAAACTATAGACAAAAACGTCATAAATGAAAAGACTTCAAAAGAACAAAATATGTATAAGACTGCAAAACACTGACATGTACTTAAAATCATATCAGGTTATACAAACTGACATCTTCTTCTAACAAAACTAAATAAAAAAAAAAAAAAAAAAAAAAAAAAAAAAAGATCGTACAAAAAGACACACAAGTGATTAGCAACGTTTAGTACAACATTACAGTTAGATATAGTAGAGCCAAACAATGAATTAAACTGCATCATACAGCTGTTCCGTCCTTCTAGGACCCGTCAGTGATACTACATCATACATCCAAAATGACTAAATGAAAAGTTAAATCTAGATAGAGAGGGGCACTTGTTCCATAACTCAATAAATGTCGCATTTACTAAATCACAAAAAATGAAGTTGGGGATTTATTGTTTTAACCTCGTTTGTTTTTCTTCTGGTCCGTTCGCTGTGAAAAAAAAATTTGGTACAGTTGATGACCTGGTATTAATGCATAATGTAGCATTTTTAAACTAAATGGTGGTCTTTACGGCCAGTGGACACTAGAGTGTAATAGCCAATATTTGGTCAGGCAAACATTGTATAATATTTGCGTGTGGCAGATCATATTATTTATTTAGTCAATATGTACTCAGATCAGCTGTTGTATAGTTGTTATATTCATGAACATTAACATATAATTATCATATTCATACTTATTTAAACATTATTATTTTGATTTTCACTTTTTCTCCGAGCTTTACCCACCACAGTTTACAATTGAACATAAATATGGTGGCCAGACTGGTGTAAATGTAACAGATTATCACTCAAAAATCTCATGTCAGATTGAAATGAAACTTGATGTAAATATTGATGACGACGTAAATATTTGTTTGATAATTTAAGTTAAATCCAAGATGACCACCGCAAGATTTGAAATTTAAATATGTACCGTTCTTAAATTAACACATAGGTGTGGTCTGATAGAAGTGGTTATATTGAACAACAAACATAACAGCCGAAAATGTTTCATCTTTGAAACTTTAGTATTGTTAATAGTGTGTGTCAGGGGATTTCTTGTGTTAATAATCACTTTATAGATGTATCACATATATTTTGTCCAGTGTCACGCATGGCTGCTTCTATGGTCTACGGTATGTACACTATAATTCAGATATCTTGATCTAGTATAAGTAGGCTTAACTGTTGCTTTATGACAGCAGGGATAGTTTGGAGGATTGATGTAACGATCTCCGTTACAATTAGAATTTGTCATATATGTGATAATTAAAAGAACGTCAAGCACATGTTGTGTATATTCTGAGCCGTGCCACTACTTGGATGAATCAATACGTGGCATGCAGGTAACAGTAAACCTATCAAACTTGAGCCAACAAGCAGTCTACCACCTGCTATCCAATTTAAGACACGGAAGAAATACCACATAAGCTGCAATGTATATTCTGTCGTCGCCTAGAGCCGTGAGCTTAGGGCGTTCTACTGGCATCTTGTAGATATGAACAATAAAGTGATAATAAAGAATAAATTAAACACAGGATTGGTCTAATGAGATTTTCTGGAAATTGCTTTCAAATATCAAATTCGTCGCCAATTGCATCACCTTCAAAAATAGTGCGAAATCACAACGGTTTGATTTGATTTATTCATTGATAGGTGTACCTCTATTTTAATTTCAATTTGAAATGTTTCTATCAACTGTATTCACTTCCTTATAAAAACATTAATGGATTTTTTTTCTTTATAATATACTGCTTTTCATGATGAATACTATAATAGATTACCGATAATTCTGCGAACAAAAATGTCCATTATAATCAGATATCAGAAATGAAGATCATGATTATTTTTTTCATTTTCTTAGTTGACTTCAAAATCCATATGACGCTATGAATTAAGGATTTCTAACTTTTGATCTGGTGATGATTTGTTGAAAAGTTGGATGATCGGCAGTATTTTTATAGCAATAAATATTGATAATAAGAATGCTTACAGCTATACCGCTAAAATGTATACGTTAGACACATTAATGACTATAACACGTATGCTCATGACAAATCCGATGTAATGAGTGTTTAGACTGATATATATGTTAATAAACGTTAATCAATAACCAATAAATGTGCTATTTCTTTCCGTGTTTTGTATCTTAAAGACTACGTAATCCTCTTAAAATCCTTCCTCCCACGCCCCTGGTTATTGCGAGGACATGGAACAAAGTAAAGACCATTGATGTGAAGTGTCCGCTTTACGATGACACGAAGCATTATTTTGTCCTTGCATGGAATTAAATGGGTGTTAGAACATCACTGAATATACATACAAGTATGAATAATCACTTCCAAATGAAAACGGAGTTTTTTTATATGGAATACAACAAGAATATCGAATATGCATTTCAAGAACGAAAATACATTATACACATTTCATTGTTGTCTGTAACTTGGTTAGTGGTTTTTAACAGTCTGTCATCCTCAAAGTCATAACCGCTAAACATATAACATGAAGAATTGTAACAAAGACAACTTGAATTGTTCCCCTTGATGTAGAACTCTTTAACTATCAACCGTAATCACTTTCTTTCCAAGTAAGTTCCACCGTACTTTATAAGACATTGAAACTAAATAATTTGAAAGAAACTTTAACGCTAATTTTTTTCATAATCGGCCACTTTTTTCAAAACTTGATCAGCATGCGCTCAGTTCGCAATGGCAATCCGGTTATATTGAGACACATAAAAGTCACAAATGACATTATTAAGACTTTCCGCAGTGCACTCAGCAATAATAATATGATTTTCTCAACACTGTACACTACCACACCCAATTCCAAACTGAAGAATCGCATTCATTCTCTTCTTATGAGTTATCTTTCTATAAAAGGTGAATGCCGGTTGAAACACATAGCTGTTAACTATACTGAAGCGTATCTCATGGAATATTAATCCAAATCAAGTCGAAATGTACCGCTTACGAAATCATTTAAAATGACCAAGAATCTGATTTATAAAATCTTCTTACAAGCTATTGCCATACTAATGGAAAGTAACTTTGCCTATCTGTTGGCAGACTTGTTGTTTTCATACGGAATTTATCGAAAGCTTATAGGATCAGGCACAAAGACCTTGCAAAGACTTTTAATTTCTCTTGGAGGTATATTGATGACATATCTATATTCAAATATTTAGTCATCAAACACGCGCCAAACTCTACATCAGCCACTAATCGCGGTCTTTCCTTAAAATGAAACTAACGAAGGCAATGTCCATCAAACTTTATAATAAACATAGGCAATTTCCATCAAGCTAAATAATAAGTGTAACTATTTCGATTCCGATAATGTGAATTTTCCACTTCTGAATAACAACACCCCCTCATCCCATGGTGTTAACACGTCGCAATTAATTCGAGTTTTAAGAGCCTTTTTCTAATATAATGACCTATGGTGACTTAGATGTCGACGACAGATAGACAAATTCACAAATTTCGAGAGAAGCAGGTTGATGAAAAATATCAAGACGTTTTATGGTCGTCATAGTGATTTCATTCAGATATACTTTTTCATATGATATGAAGCTGGATCGTGTTTGAGGGTTTTTAGTTTGCGTATTGTTTACTTTGTTCTCATTTCGGAACGTGATAAATCTTGCTTGGATTGACCACGATTTACAAAACAAATGAAGCAGAAACTGCTTACTGATCTTATATCCCTTGTACCTTTTCTGTGGTCATGTTGACATGCTCTTGTTGTTTTACGATCATGTCCGTTGAATACTGACATTTCATTTGTTCAGCAAATGTCCTAGGACGCCATATTTGAAATGTCAACAAGTCAAAACAATTATAATCCAAACTCAAATCCTTTGAAATTAAAACAAAAATTAACAAAAGAATTGTTTACGCGGAGACTCATGAAAAAGTCGAAATGAGTAATTTTACGATCTCAAATGAGAACAACGGAACTGGCAGGAAATATAAACGAGCGTCAAACACTTTCAGCTTCATATCGTAAAAAGAAATAACATATTTCTCAATTATATCACTTTGATCACCTTAAAACTTCTTCCTAATTTCCACCAACCTGAACAAAATTACCTCAATGCAGTCAGATAATGGAGTTCAAAAGACATATTCCAAAATGAACTGTTTGAATAGTAGTCAATTTCTTGCTTAAGTAGGATACATATTAATATATCATTATCAGATCGTTAAACAGCTTCAATCACAAGTTTGATATTTGATTAGTTACAACATTTCACAGTTTGCATGTCTTAATGTCGCCTTCACACAAAAATGATCATCACCACGATAATTATATCTGAATGACATTCTTACCTTATAAAAGATGTTTCCGTAACAGAAGCAGAATACTCCTAAAGGAACAACTAGAAAAAGGACAAGTGATGCAACACTAAAGGACGCGTCCTCAGCTAAATTACTAGTCCAGTTGACGGAACAGGATATGCCGAAACCCTCTAATACATACTTGCTCCATCCAACTAGAGGAGCTATTGCCCAGGCAAGTCCATTCAGTACACAGCCGAATATCAGGCTCACAGCAACACGTTCATTTATCAACGGTTTGAGATGCGTCTTAACTATGACGATGTAACGGTCAATAGAAATCATGGCCAGTATGGTTATGATGGACAGACCTAAAAACGTCATAATGAATCCATAATAGACACAGCCTTTGTCGCCGAATGCCCAATGTTGTTTAAAACTTGAAACCACGACCATAGGTATTCCGAATAGAGACATTAATAGATCCAAAATAGAAAGAGCCAAGACAAAGTAGTTTGTGGGAGTTTTAAGTGATGGCTGTCGGCAAAAGACGTAAACAATCAGGCCATTGAGTGTTATACCGATGACAGATGCAATCATCATCAATACTCCAATCACAATGTATGCATACTTTGGTAGATGAATCTGATGTACTTCAATAGTGTAGTTTCCCGTCGATGTATTTCTGAACATGATTATTGTTTCTTACATTTAAAAACACGATTTTGTTTAACTGTCATTGTGTCACAAAATCCAAGAGAGGATGCCTTTGTCTTTGAAACTCAACAGCAACAACATACACGATATGTGAAAGTTCTGGTTTCTGGAACAGTAGAACAAGACATTGAACTAATAGGGTAGGTAACATATTAACACATTATAAAGTCTATAACGACTTTTATTGTATATACTCCAATGTCATTCATAAGTAAGTGAAAAATCAATTGCAATATCTGTTGTTGGTTATTGCTGTCATTATTATCCAAATGACGCAACACCGTGATAAAGGTCATTCCATAGTTTGTGATGCTAATGACTGTCTAAATGATCACGTACATGACACGTTATATAACCACTGTATACATACAATTCCATAGCGAAAATCAAGTATTTGACCTCATTCACAGGTAGATACAGACAGTTCTTGTTTTTCAGTAAAAAAAAGTCCTTTCGCTAAATTTGCTGAACATCTGGTTTCTTGGTTTGTATTCCGTGTGGAATAATCGAGATACTATTTCACAGTTTACACTATCATGTCTGAGCTTTCCCGAGTTTTAATGTTACCGTTTTGTTCTCTGATGGACTGGATATACATAGATATATCAAGAATCAACAGATATGTTCAATACGTATGCAATGCCCATGTGATAAATGTCGCACCTATACTGCTGCAATGACAGGTATAGATTGAACAAAAGGATACTGTATACTCTGTCTCTGCCTCTCTTGACTAAGCTTTGCTGTTTCATCACGATGTCACGCACATGATTCATTTAGATTAAAATACCAATCGGCTCTAAAAATCTTATTCCTAAGTCATCGAAATACGACAGCGCATATATATATATAGCTTACACGTTGATATCTTACTTTATATGACAAATTGAATGTATTTTGATTCCTGTTGAAACAACAGACATATTAGACGCGTGATATCTGCCCAGTAGCGCTGGATATATAAACCATTTCCTTATCGCTAGGCGGGGCTAATTTTCAGTTTACCCTTTTTATTTTGGAGCAGGTGTTGATCTGATTTTTTTAATAGAATTTATAGATGATAAAGAAAACATCTCTATCCAATGATAATAAAAGTACATTATTTAAAATTGTTCATAAACAGATTGAAGTTTGTGATACAATAATCAAAAATACTTAATAGTTTATGCTGGAAGTTAAATAGATGCAACACTATTCGTTAAGCGAGTAAATTAACAAACATTGAGTCACAATATTTTGTTAGAGTAGAAAGCTGGTGTATCAATGTCTTTCAGTTAAGTTAGTGTCGCTAATCGGAGTCAAATTTAAACCTTAAAAATATGATTAAAAGTGCGCAAAAGCTCTTGCAAAGTACAAGTATGATACGATCAAGTGTACCGGAAGGCTAAGCGTCTTTTGCATTGACCATGGCACTCGTGATGTAAATCTTGGTCAAGCCATTTAAGAAGTGTCACGTTCCAAAAAAGGAAAAAGCTAACCATGAAACAACCAAGGATACCACTGAACATCAAACTTCATTTCGAACAATGAAATAGAAAATTTCTCGATAAGATCATTTTGACGACCGTAAAGCTTTCCTATCACCTTCATCATCCTTTATAGCTTGAAACCCTATGCCGTGAGTTTGTCTGTCAGATATCAATACGTTCTTTTTCTGGCGATATTATTTGCTAAATAAACCTGACATATAAACAAGAATTTGAAATGGGGGTCATTTTTACTACGTTAAATTCCTGTTAAATGAGGAGAAAGGTTTTCGCCGGACTCTAGGCTTCCATAAAAGCGAATATCACCTTTTCAAAAAAAAATTAGAGTTAGATAGAGTACAACCAAATAATGAAGTAAAATGCACTATACAGCTGCTTTGTCCTTCTGGATCCCGTCAGTGATGGTAAGGGTGTAAAGTTTGAAGTCTAGGAGGTGACTGAGGAAAATCAAAAGTGATTGAGAGAAGAGTCAAAATCTAGACAGAGAGGTGTAATAGCCGTGTTATCAAAATATTATTTTCATACATCTGATACTTTCTGAATTATGCCAAGTAGATGTGTTTGTTCTGAGCCATGCCACTGTACGAATGAATTAAAACGTGGCATGCAGGTCATGACAAAACTAGAAGGATAAAATTCAACAGCATTGTTTACTATAAGCAATGTTGTACAAAAGACGCACAAATGAATAGAACATTTTAATAAGAATTTGAAGTAAGAAACAACAGTGCCAAACAATGAATTAAACAGCATTAACTGTTTTATCTCGATTTAACGCTTATTGACAGACGGATTGGACTAAGTAATAAAATTTCAGTTCAATGACGACTCATAAAACATAGGATGCTAATTAAGTTTTGAAATCAGATTTGGATAACACAAATTATAAGCAGCAGTAAATAGATCTGATAAAAAAGAGGAGTTTTTCGTTTATATATATACATAGAACGAGAGAGCATTCTGGTAGTGATAGAAACGGCCATGTCCAATTAAACAATCGACATCGGATTGAGTTGAGATTTTCTGAAATCTCCTACTCTTGACTTGTTTTTTGTCTCCGTATGGGGCTTAAATTGTCAAAGAGCTTTGTTAAACGAGCTACAAAGACCCTGACCATCATTTTCAGTTTATATACATAAATGATCATTAGCATTCAGTAAGAAGAAACGTATTGACCATATTCGTCATATATACACCTACCAACAGAACTGGAAATCAAGGTCGTGATTAATGCTTCTAAACACATCATCTGCGTACCTAGATTGTACCCTCAACGAGATCGACAGCCAAGTTTCTAAACAAGCTATATAATTTCGATTTTTAAAAGACATTTACACCTCCGGATCACCTGGTCTTATTTATGCAGTTTTTTTCATTCTCATAGGTTGCAATTGTTTTACCGATTTTGCGTTTGAGATACAACTCTGTCCATACGTCGATCATTTCTGTATAAATAGACAATTGAATGGATAAATAAATATTAACCTGTCGATCGTTTCGTTACATACTCTGTATGACAATATTTTTACCGAATGTAAGACAAGCGAAACAGGTCCGTAGAAGTTTTTATTTCCTTTTTTTTATTTTGAGTCATGTTTTGAGCTGCCTCGGAGACCAATCAATAATTGTTTTCCTTTAAATAAAAGAATAAACACAACATATCAGCCCAGTTGACCATCATCAAGCTCTAAGATTACCTATCAGCTGTCGACAACATTTACGTAAATCATCCTTTTCCCTTATTAGGAGCAAGCTTCTGTGACAGTTATACCAGTCTCCATGGTAACGATATATACGTGCTACAGTAATGATGATCATAATTAGGGATTTTACCAGAGTATATCAACTCACAATGTACACTATACACAGACATTACTACTACAGAAATACGGTTTTTTTTTTTTGGTTTCCACACAAGTCTTGCCTAATCGATAACTAGCATATCCTTTCTTCATTGCATTTCCTGTCTTTTCATTTAATTATACATCCTTATCTATATAGGTATTATTTAAGCAGCAGTATGTCTGATATCTTTTTACTTAAATACTGGATTACTATTAGGTCAGTTAGATTTAAATTGAAGACAATCATTTAAAAATGCATTTGCATAGATAAAATATAAAACTATATAGAACATAATGAAATGATAAAATCAGACCAAAATACCATTATCCTTTCCTCGTGACGTTTTCAGTTTTCTAATCTATTCTAAAACATTTTGTATCCTTACTTTATTAAATAATGAACATGCACAACGTCTGTACACTACTACAGTGGATGTATATCTGTTCAGGCAACTCTAAATTACAATAATATCTTGTGGAAGTTCAAGCTTTATGTTTCAAATAATTTCATGAACAGGCACGCCCTCCATCTGCATATAGCCGAGTACATTTTTTATCGTTTAGAGCAATTTCATTTCATGTGCTGGCCAAAGACCAATGGTTCGCATGAAAAGGTGTATTGATGATATTCCTGAACTTTGGCAAACAAATCTAAGTGACTATATTCAGTAGCACCTATGTTACTTAGTTATACATATTCAATTAGGTGCATTTCCTGTTAACAATCGAAGGCATTTTGAGTTTTCTTCACACGTCAATCTTCGGTAACTGAGGTATATTGATCTATTTCATTATGTAATATGTTAATATATCACTTTACACAAGAAACTGTTTCTACCTGCCAAAGAACATGTGGTTTAGACTTGAAATCTTTTTTTGATCGCGTTCATTTGAAAAGTCAACATATGTAGGGGAGGGAGGGGGTGTCTTCCTTTATCATATCCTATTTTTTTCCAATCACATATCGGAATTCGGATGAAATAAGCAAGACCTTCTCACGTAGCAAATATTTCAGAAAAGGGTCCAGGACAAGAAGGATTCACAAATATATCATAAACTGAATGTACCGAAAGTTGTGTAAGATATGCAACTCCTTAATTCGTGTCATGAAGTGAACTATGTATGTAAACTCGTCGGTTTTAGATAGGTCACGTTCGACGTTCTTGTGTCTCTCTATCGTAATTATTTCTTTCCAATTAGTTTAATTTTGTATCCGAATTTTCATGGCATAATTTATAAGAACGTAAATCTCTCCCCCCCCCTCTCTCTCTCCCTCTCTCTCTCTCTCTCTCTCTCTCTCTCTCTCTCTCTCTCTCTCTCTCTCTCTCTCTCTCTCTCTCTCTCTCTCTCTCTCTCTCTCTCTCTCTTATAATAAAAAATGATATGTATATAATTATTTGAGCCCTCTTAAATGTATATATGTAATTGTTTCTACTAAAGGAAGGGGCTTTAATAATGTACCCAATCCTTTTGCTTAACGTCAATAAAATGTTTAAACTAAGTGTATATGTATTTAGATATTGGTTACCTTTCATTCAGTTTATTGAAGTAAATGTACACGTATAATATTTTAGTTGTACGTATCGTTAGATTGTTTTGCATTATCAGTGAAAACCATACGTTCAATTGCCAAACATGTTAAACTGTACTGAGCTTAGAAAGGTAGAGACCACTTTTTAAAGACACTTTTGTTTGTATCAGTAGACATAAAAATGGAATTTAAAATACAAAAGAGAAGTCAAACAATTAGAAAACGATTTTGACTCATTTTGAATCAGATCAAGTTTGTTGACCTTGTGACCCGATTTTGCCTAGTAAGTAATGGTCATGACGGTCTGACGTACATCGTGGTCTATCCGATCGAGGTCTCTCGATGACGTTTCCGGTCATCTGGAATCGATTCCATAATCGCGAAATGACACTCTGTGAAACATAGAAGAGAGCAGTCACAGTATTTGTCTTGCTTTCAGCACATGGAAAGTGGTCAAGTAGTGTCTAGCTTAATCTATCTTAATGACAGAAAACAAATCACATAGATGTATTATCCTTAACCTTTTGTGCCCAGTGTATATACACTATTTCTTATTCAGAATGCTCTGTCTGTCAAAATCACGTGATGTGATCACGTTGACCTTAACTACAGATAAGTATCAAGATAAAATGCAAATTTTATAGAAGTCACGCAAAGATGGCGTCCGTTATAAAGGTGATCGCTGCTCTTCTGATTGGTGAGACATATATGAATATTTGGTATGGGGATATATCAAACGGAACGTCAAAGTGTTTCTAATTTAAGAGCAAATATAATTATAAATATATTATCTTTAAGTAATTAATTAGGGTAATCGGGATATTTTGTAACTATTGTCTAGTATATATTAAGAGGAGTGATTCCCTTGTGTGTACAATTATCTGTGTTTCAGGTGTTTCAGTTAAATGGTTAAGTTGTTAATAGATCCGGTATTTATGTGACACCTATGTTCACGCTGGCGGTAATCCTATTTTACGAACGCTACTTTAACCAGTCCTCTGATGTGTGTTTTAGACGATATATTCCACATAATTATACAGCTGATAGGAAAGCGTACCTAATGACAGATGAAACCACCAAAGGATAATACTTGTATCTACATTTTTGTTCCGAATATCATATGTTAGGTGATGAGATAGCTATATATACACGTGGCGAATTTAACACATATACCTTAATTTCCCTTGCAGTATAAAGTTTCCCTTTGCCTCACATTCCAGTGTTACATTTGTTTTACTTCAAGAATTTCTTATGTTTCTTTGCATTCTGTTGTGTTTTTACAACAAAGTGGGCATCGTCTCATTAAATTTTATTGATTAATTTCGCCATTTTTATTTAAACACACTAAATATCACAGTGAAGATTCACACCAGAAAAATAATGGAATATTTTGAGCCTAAACATTGGAGTAACACACAAACACGTGTCTATTTAGATACCCTGTGTTATTAAGTAGTCCACTACTGTCTGTTCGTTTAATATATCAAGTATAGTTACAACGTTTGAAATCTGTGAAATACGATTTTTTTCAATTAATGATATTACGTCATTCCTTCCAGTATTTCTACATGTAAAAATGGTAAGCTTCCATAACATTTTGTTCTATCATGTAACAAAAAGCGTTCATGTGAAGAGACCGAAAGTGTGAAAAGAATGTTTTAGCGGATTGAATAAAATAATTTTCCAAATAACCACGGAACACGTCTTGACACTATTCGATCATTACTCTAATTTAATTGTTAATTGAAATGTCAATAGATATATGTTGAACAATTATCCGAACTTTGATTATACAGATTTTTCTTGTTAAGTGTGAAGTTTGGTAATTATTCATAAGTAAGTCTGTAACTTCACCAACACCATAACTTAAGATACTATCATACTGAAGTAAGGCCCTTTGGTGTCTCTTCCTTGGGAAAATGATAGGACTCTGTGTCCGGTAAATACCTTATCTGTCGTTACAACCATGTACTTATCATATATTGGTAAATACAACGAAAATGACCCCGTTTACTTTCAGTTTAAATATTAACCTGCTGATAATTGGTCGAACGGATTGAAAATGTCGGGAACAGATATCTAGTACACAGTGTAACGTAACCGGGTGGATATATATCAACATAGTCAGTGGAAATACATCACAACAGCTAAAGTTCTATTTACAGGCTTAGTTACACTTTATACAACACATACTATATAAGTCCGGATCAACACCTGAGAAACACCGGCTAATTGACATCAGTTAATTATAAGGAGACAGCCCCACACTTCAGTTCTCCACTAATCTCTCCTTCTCCGTGATCTTATCCCAGTCCGTAAGGCTATTTTATTTGAATTTCTCCAAAATGCTTTCAATCGTTTGCTTGAAACGTTCACTCATTCCATTAGGCTGTGGATACATCGGTACCTCGTAGCCATATTTGTGATCGACGTTATCACAAAAGGCACTATTAATGCATGATCTACGCGACTAACTGTCAGCAGTTTGATGCTCTGATCCATTCCTATGATTGATAATGTGGTCCTATGCCACTAGAATCCATCAAGCAATCCTTCAATACCCTTAAAATTTGTCAATCATCACAATGAGCCATGATCGATATAGTGAAATGACGTCTGTACAACAATGAACGTGTTTCTCTGCACTAACTACGACTAAAAGTTCCTTACACGCCACACACTATCCCTGTTCACTGTACAACTGTAGTATGCAATCACTTTCCCATGGGCGCCTTATTTCTGCCAAAGGAAAGCGTTATTACTGACATCTGTGTCAAGGATGAAAGTGGATCCAGAGGGGTCTGGATAGGTTAAAACTTGATTTGTTCTCGGTTTTGTTTTCAACGTAGGTAATGCATCAGAACATGTTAGTCCATTCAAATACGTAATCCTTCTCTGTCAAGGCATTTAAAGGTAGAGCAATTTCGGCAAAACCTTTGATGAATTTTCTGTAGTACGAGCGGAGGCCGAAGAAGCCCCACACCTCGCTGAGTGACGTAGAAGCAGCCAGTTGCGAAATTCCCTTTTCTTAGAGATTCGTGCTAATGCCATACTCTGTGTTTATGTGATCAAGGTATGATACACTTTTACGTAATAACTTGTATTTATTTGGACCGAGCTTTAATCCAAATGACTGTAAAGTTCTAAGATGGTGTTTATATCTGTGCCGAATAGCTATTTTATCGTCTTCGTTGAACAATTCTGAAATGGTATATTCCACTGCTACGACCTCGCAAATTGCTGCGATAGTGTTCTTATACAACTTTTCTTGTGAATCAGACACATTAAGGCCAAAAAATGGCATATTATCGTCTGCTATATTCACGACTGGTTTTGTGAGAAGTAATCCGTTTTTTTAATAAGTTGACTTGTTGGCATAAACATGCCACAGAGCGAGGCATTCGATTTGACTAATTTAGTTGCGGTCACGAGTTTCTCTTCCCCAAGTGATATCTCACTGGTTTGGTTCACCGCGATACAACTTCTTATGCCACTCAGGGCTGTCGTAGCACACCTTTCACTTTGATCATCCATTGTAAAGGTATTGTTACCTATATCCACAGTACAGCAGAGAGTTTTCATAAAAACAAAAAATGATATGCCGCCCCAATCGACGGTCGTTTTGTCTCTCCGCCACAGAGATGGCTTCCAGTTCAACAGTTGGTTTAGTATTTTTATCCATTGACTTATTAGAACGAGTCTACTAAATCCGAATGCGCATATCAGAGACTCTGTCAAAGCATCAACGAAGCGATCACAACATAAAGTGTCAATAGGATCTGATGGGATGTTAGGATAAGTCTTTCTGCCTAAGCGTTTCCCCCTCTGAGACAATTCCGGGAGAGACTGGTCTCCTTTTCGTACCAGAGTTCTGTTCGAAATAATTCCGTTCGATTTTCTGCCCAAAACTGTTGAAGTAAAGCTGCTGTTAAGTCTGTTCAGGTTTTTCGTTTTTCAAGCTCCACATCAGGTAGAAAAAAACCTTGGGCACTTTGTCATAAGCTAGAGGTCATAAACAATGCCGTTTCATCATCAGGCCATTGGTTTGTATCCGCCACTAATTCGAACCAAATAGTCCTTCCGAGGCAAGTTGCCATCAAAATAAACTGGTTTTATCAATTAATTCAATAATTGCCTCGTTTTGGTTTGATTTGATTGAAATCAGATTTCATTGACTAATGGCCTTCCTAAAACTTTCACAGTCATCCGTCAGTTTCTTGATTTCCTCATTAAGAGACGGTAATTGTGTTGAGATGAGAGTCCCTATACTGGTGCTCCGTAATAAGTCCTTAGCCATAACCCGGGCTTTGTCTCTCATTACCACTTTTAGAGTATTCAAATCAAAACCTCCCTAAGACATTTTCACCGCTGCCCATGTATTCAATAGTCCGTGTTTAATCCCTCATCTGCCATCGAATATTGTCACGTGACCAAGTGGATAAAAATCAGCAGAATCAGTCGAAATAAATCACAACAGCAAAAATTCTATCAACATGTTTATTTAACCTTTATACAACACTTACTATATCTACACAGATCAACATCTGAGAAACGCTAAGCTAGCAGACCTCAGCTATGTATTCGGAGACAGTCACATACACGCCATTTCTTCACAGACCAGACATCCCCTACCACACATAACATTAAAAAATAAGCCTGAAGCCGTAACAGCCCCATTGACCTGAGGTCAAACTCCCCGGCTAAGCCTTTAGCAGTGTCAGTCTGCCGTCTATAAGCACTGTCCCCCTCCCGGTGTCAATTAACGCTGACGTATAGAACATATCATTCCCATTACCCTCTATATGTTTTGGGATAAATACACAATTATACTGAAAACATTAAAGAAATGAATTAATGAAAAATCAATAACATCTCATTTTTCGGAGTTGTTTCTCGACATGTTTAAGTTTTCATTTTAATTACGTATTTCTGAAAAAAACATCAAGAAAATATCATGGCAACTCAATCATAATTCAAACTCAAATTCAATAAAACTGGGGGAATATGAACAAAAGCAAGATTTACACGGAGACTCCTGGGAAAGTACAAGGAGAATAAGACCAGGTGTTCTGGAAAAGCAATCGTCTTCCGGTTCATCGACGACTACCGCCATGATGCACAATGCGGGAATCGTCCATTACTACCATAGTTGTTTGGGAACGTAGGATATGAATATTCCAAAGATGTTATCATAAATCACTTCTACATTGTATTTAAATGTAGCATCGCCTGTTTAGAAATGGAAAGATGGTTTATAGACTGTTTCGACAAACAGGGCTACTTATGTAATATGTTACAATGTATGCTTGATTAGCCATACTCAAAGTTCAAGGTTGTTATGTGTTGGGATAAGAACTACTTCCTTATTTGGAATAATTGAAAGTAAACCCCCATCGAAAGAAATGTCTTTGACAGAAAATCTGTAGTTTCTTCCTTAACATCTTACATTTCGAAACTAGCCAAGAATAGACATTTAGATTTCAGAAAGGACCATCAAAAACTGTGTTTAAACGTCGAATTTATGTTTGTTTCTTATTCATACGCCCGACACTATAAGATATCGATGGCTATTTTAGACGAATTTTTACTAGCGGGTGACTACCCGAATGTACAACATACGAGAGGCTCGTACCATGCCATACAAAGCAATTATGGTGTCTTGCTTAACTACACAACAACGACAGGACTGAGCGATTTAAACAGATAAAACACTGTATCAATTTTGTTATGTAAGACGCAAGGTTTTCTTTTTAAACCGTTGATTTTTGTTGCAGTTGTCAAACTTTGAATAACAAATTTAAATGATTGTCTTAAGTTGAAAGTGTTACACATCATGAAACTTTCCTATTTTCCTATTTCCTATTATGTCAGTAATTGTGTATAAATCATTCCAGGTTGTACAAATGCTTGCTTGGATGGATGGATAGCACATGACAATGAATGTTTCCTGTTTAGTCATAACCAGGTTACCTGGACGGAAGCTATGGTAATGCAAACTAATTCAGATGGTTAAACGGCTTTATCTGGCAGGATGTGCCATATTCAGATATTTAGGATAGACCACTAGGTTGATAAAGACGTGTATAGCAATTCAACAAACGTCAACATCTAACATCTTCCAAGTTAGTCAAATCCCGGTATAATATTTTTCCTGTATTTCGCCTTGTCACGTGTGATGATTTGACACTCTGTTATCTTGTCAATCCCAGTGTAATGCGTCGTCAAAAGTAATGATATTTGTGGCATCCGGTCTTTTTGCTGTCGCATCCTGTCAAATCAAGAAGAAACCCATTGTTTACATGACGTGCTACCATAATATGAGATTTTATGGATTATTTAGGCGACAAGCGTCAAGCAAAAACAAATACAATTATGTTTGTTATTCCGTCTACTGTCATCGTTTCAAGATCGAAATGGTTTTTAGATGCATCTGCAATTTACTGTTGACTTGTCCGTTTTTAATCTTGTCATGCCAAATGTCCAGTAACACAGGTCCAAGATTGTGCAACATTAATTTGAACGTGTTAGGTGCTAGTTAGTTTGTCTGGTATTTACAACTCTTTCTTTTTAAAACGTGTCAATACTTACTTGGATTTACCAAGATTTGCATGGCGGGTTTTGGCGATAAGGATTTTAGTTTGTTGCTGAGAATCAGAAGAATTTGTGCATGGCCTGGTGTCACTGTATTATAGCATCATGGGCGTGTAAAACAAAGAGCAACGGCATATTTCAAACTTCGTCAGCCACCATCAGTATCAAAAATTTCGGTTCTACCATGACTAACGAGTCCTTGATGGATGAAATAGCTAAACTGTATCAAATTTTAGATTTGTTTTTAACGGTACTCATATACTGTATATCTTTTGCAAACTCATCTAAGTAAATCCAAATGTCATTTTGACAGGAAGTGATTGAAAAAAAATATGTCAATATGTTGATGGTATTTAATAGTAACATATACATATCTGATGTAAAATACACATATATACATTGTTAATTCTTTGAAAGAGATAGTTACTGTAAAAGAACAATAAGTATCTGGGAAATTGTCTAAAATTAAAGTAGATTACTGGAATGGTTAATTTACCAAAAGTAACATCAGTACAAACACTGTATCTACTTTTGTGTATATCTGAACTCATCATCAATATGGTAGGATTGAGTGTAACATAAAAAATATACTATACATTTTTTTTTTCTGTCATAATTATTTGTCTTATTGTTGTCCTGGTTTACTTTTAGGATATCTGCCAACTTTTCGACAGTAAATTAGCAGAACCACAAACACGTGAACTGGATATGTTCATTGGTAACCAGTCAGTACATAACAGTATGTATGATGTTTTGTTATTTTTTGCGGGAAAACAACTCTGATTATTGTTCAACGAGGTGATTTCTCGTTATTTATATAACGTTGTTTTGAAAAAAAAATACATGAAGATAAAATATTTATTAAGAAAAAGACCCGTATGATAGTGTTAATAGAATATATACACAAAAGGATTTCTTTTGATTTTGTTTTCATTGCGGCCTCTAAAAAACCTAATGCACTCAACATGTAATGTTTTTCATTTGTTACCATGGTCACCCTATATAACCCGGTACTTTTGCACAATACCATTAGTAGCTGAAATATATTTTGCTTTAATCAATTAAATTTTAATATGTTCATATTTAACAGGGCGGAAGTATTGGTTGGGTGGATCTGACATCATGCATGAAGGTCATTGGATCTGGATGTCGAACATCGAGCCAATGCTATATACTAACTGGCATGCGCCAGATCCGAACAACGGCAACCAGGGCGAGGATTGCTTACTTAATAACTGGTACAAAATGGGAGAATGGGCAGATGGGGAATGCGAGTGGAAAGAATTCTACATATGTCAACGGGTGTAAGTTATTTTAAAAGTACGATAGTCCGTGATCCGTATTCAATACATTTGTATATATAATTTGATGTTGTACGACATTCCATGATCCATATTCAATACCTTTATATATAGAATTTGATGTTGTACGACATTCCGTGATCCGTATTCAATACCTTTATATATAGAATTTGATGTTGTACGACATTCCATGATCCGTATTCAATATATTTACATATACAGTTGATGTTGTACGACATTCTGTTATCCATATTCATTACATCTATATATATATAATTTGATGTACGATAGTCCGTGATCCGTATTCAATATATTTATATATATAATTTGATGTACGATAGTCCGTGATCCGTATTCAATACACACACATAAATATATATATAATTTGATGTTGTACGACATTCCGTGATCCGTATTCAATACATTGGGTTATATATATATTTTGATGGTGTACGACATTCCATGATCCGTATTCAATATATCTATTTATATAATTTGATTGTGTACGATAGTCCGTGATCCGTATCAATATATTTATATATATAATTTGATTGTGTACGATAGTCCGTGATCCTTATTCAATACACACACACACACACACACACACACACACACACACACACACACACACACACACACACACACACATTTATATATATATATATATATATATATATATATAATTTGATGTACGATAGTCCGTGATCCGTATTCAATATATTTATATATATATAATTTGATGGTGTACGATAGTCCGTGGTCCGTATCAATATAATTATATATAAAATTTGATTTTGACCTTATTTTTATTTCAGAGATGATTCTGCAGCGACTGGAGTGATTGGATAAAACAACAAATTTGACAAATTTATCAATCAATAAATACATCTTCCGATTTCCTCACTTGACCAATTTCTTATCTACCGCAAACTTCGAACGACAAATCCATTATTCTTCGAGTCGATAACCCGAAAATATGAACATAAATCAAGACCTTGTGTAGTAATATATTTTAAGTTGATTTTGTTTACTCTTTATTGTCTGTTACCAAGAAAACAGCAAAAAATTAGGGATATTTTTTCCGTATCGTGACAAATGATTTGCTTGAAATCACAACTAAATTCTGGTGAATCTCCATTGCTAGTAAGAAAGGTACCATGTTGATATTTTTAGGTAAGCATGGAAATAAACAACATTTAAAGCTCTTCCACAGACCAAATATTCAAAAGCGTACAACAATACATATATCTGCTCCAAAAGAAAGATTAGTCGTATTTATCAAAGATACCCAATATATTAGCATAAAATTTATTTTCTTGGCATCAATCAAATTCTGACAAATATCCAATATCTATACAGTAAAACGTATCTTTATTTGGAAGTGCAATATTTCATATACCAATTTGGTAAATTTTCAAAAAATAAAAATTGAATATACATAATAATACTTGAAAATACAAGAGATGTCTCGAACATCAATCGATATATTAATACCTGGTTTTCTCGGCTCTGATCGAATTACATGTGCTGTTTCAATCCTGTTTTCTATATTAGTGACATAATCCTTTTTGTTATAACAGCAACAACTTGTAATATCAGTCAGTATCAATTACTGATTTTAGGTTTTAGCTTCTAAACAATTTCAGAATTTTATTCTTTCTGCTTTGAAGTGTTGTGTTTAAAGCATTCTAACAAACAAAACGACACTAGGAACTGTACCAGGATAATGTAAGCTGTTTCATTCGCCAAGCATCCTCATTATCAGCAGTAGTGGGTAATTACGGGGACATTATGCGGATTTGTTTCGTCAATCATGAATGACTTGGATGTAAGAATATCACAGAGAAGCAGGTAAACATATTTACGATACCTTGTAAAATGGGCGGGGTCATTTGGTAATCCGGCATCCGGCAAAAACAATATTTTGAGCATAAAAAGGAAATGAGACAGAAAAAACAGACTTCAATCTTTATTCAAATGCTCAATAATGACATACAAATACTGAGTTGTCTGCCCTTCTCACAAGGTGTCGCTATGTGTTATCCCGGGTGTTGTTTGTTACTAGGTGTGTAATATATTTGTAAATCGATATACCGGGACCGAATAATTAACACATCTGGTGTCTGCCTATGCCGACCAGATACAATCCCAATGAAAGCATTCTCAACACACCTGTTATCGGTCTGTGCTTACATTTTGTCACACATACTCTGTAATAAAATTACTTGACTATATATAGTAACAGGTGTTTACAATATTTACGGAGTGTTTTCTTTAGAAATGGGAAGCCAGCCATTGGATGGTTACTGGTTTCATCATGACATTTTGACCAATCGCAGCTCGCATAACATAACCGTTCAGTGCGTAATGGCGACATTGTATGGTAAGAATAATCTTATTTGAAAACTAATCTTCAGGAGGTTTCTAAGGAAGGCACATATTTTTTTTGTATTTGGTAAAACGTATTAATTGTACACAACACACACACTATCTATTTCCCTCATTGAACCTCACGCCTCTGCCCTTTGGTGGTTAATCAAACCATTCATGTTTCATACTAAATTGGAAAAGAAGACAAGGACCCCCTCATCCACCGGAAGTCCAAACACATCACCACAATATCTACCTGTAGACCATGGAGTCGTCTCCAAATAACAGAACAGTAAACCCCAAGACGACTCCAACCAATGAGGGGAGCACCCCTTACGTCGCCAGAGAATCGACACACGTCGATTGGACAATGCCCGGCGACGGGCAGAGTTACGGAGACGAGAAACCTTCATCATCATCATTATCATCAGCATCAGCATCAGCAGCGGCAGCAAGTTTTATCGCCTTTTACCACCATGCAGTGGAGACAGTAGCCCGTACAATGTTTACAACATATTACCCTCAACCCCCATCTCCTCCGTTTGTTTAAATATTACCTACAAAGCATACCTGCGCCATGTTGCAGTTTATGAGCTGGTAAAACACAATTGCATTTGATAAGTTATAGCGTAACGATATTACCAGCAAAAAGTTTTCTAAATATACCAGCAACATATTTACCGTCAATATACACAGTTTGATACTAAAATTTGTTGAACTTGAACAGTAGCACGGTTAAAAATGTACTTGACGTTCTCTGGAAATTACCGGATATATGAAAATTACATATTTTTCAAATCCTATGTGATCGTTTCTACTTCGTAGATAGGTTGGCAGTACGATCAAGTTTGATTCCCCTCTATAGCCATGTAGGTTTCAAAACTAAGGCCCTAAATATCAATGACGAGGTCATGAAGGACAAAACAGCTTTATGATGCATTTCCATTAAGTATCTACATTTACCGTATCTAATTCTAAATTTGTACTGAAAAGTGCTCTTCATGTGTATGAATTTTGTATATTTTGGACACGGATGGGATTATATGATTAGGCTAAACAGGGGCACCATATTGTTTCGAGAAATTAACTCTGTTATCACTAATGAATCTTCCCTACATATCATAAGAGCACAGAAGACCGCAGTAACCTAATGGTTACATGTTTATTTATTTATCATTGTATAACATCACTGAGGCGTAACGTTTCTTGGTTTACAAATTATTTATTACTAGCTCATGAACAGCGTGGTTCATGATGCTACCTGAGCGTCGATTCCAATTCACAGGTTATTTGTTTCCACCATTGTCACGCTTTCTTTTCTGAAAGAATATGCATTCAGATACTTTTTAGTAATATTCGGTCTGTTATTGTGATAATCTATATACAAAATATCACTGTTGAATCACATGACTGCACATACATAACTACACAGCACTAGTTAACGACTGGAAAAATAGCATTTTCTTTCATGTAAAGATAAAACTATATTGACAAAATATCTTTAAATTGTAGTATAATTATTTCCTGAAACACTATTTCAAGCCGATACTTCCATTCTTATATCCTTTTAGGTGAACAACAACCCTGTGATTTGTTTTAGCACAATTCCGAGAAGTCAATATCAGGCCATTCCGACATAGTATGGCGCATCCTTATTTAGATATGGTGCTGAAGGTAATTGATATCAATATCGATGTGGCGATGTGAAATATTGTACAAATGACACACAGGTGAATAAGTATGACGAGTTAGAAGCAGTGGAACCACACAATGGATAAAACTGTACAGTTGTTGCGTCCTTCTAGGACTTGTTAATGATATATGCTAAAAACTGGAAGCTTAGGAGACGACTTAGAAATATCGAAAGTGTTTGAATGAAATGCCAATCTCTTGCTGGGGCAGTGCACTAGCCCCGCAATTAAACAAAATTAGTCATATCTGATAATTTTAAAAGAAAATCAAGTACATGTGGTAACCTGAAGAGCGCTAATATCCGAATGAATCAAAATTCGAAAATTCTTTCAAACACATTATGTTTATTAGAAATGGGAGGTCTACCCGTTGTACTCAACATCATTCATTAGCCGTTAACCGTATCAATTATAATTTATACCGTGTTCATTGATGATTGATGATGATGATGATGATGATGATGATGATGATGATAATGATGATGATGATGAGGAGGAGGAGGAGGAGGAGGAGGAGGAGGAGGAAGATGTTTTTTATCACGACGATAAGGAGGATACTGAAGTATCATTAATGGGAATTTCGAAATATTGCATCAATTTTTGTCAGTCGATCTGACAGTCACACTGACTGAAATATGTCTTCGTTATAGCTGAGAAATTTATGCATAAGGCATGTTTGATTGATGATAACTTGTGTTCAATTACACAGCAGTAACGTAGTTTCTCCATCTTAGCCTTACTTATACTCACGGCAGGACTTATGTTATCACATAATGGCTGATTTCTTACGTCATCCACCTTCTCTCAGGTAAGATATCGATGGCATTCCCAATGTAACACAAAAAGCGATTTAATCTGATGTCTTCTATATATAGTGCAACACTTCTCCTACCACTGAGGGATAGAATGATAACACCTGACTATATCAATGTCATCTTCTTGTGTCAGCCAGATTGATGAAACTCCTTCCTTATCATTTTTTTTTATCTTTCTTCCCACTCTTTGTGTCTGTCTTGACATCTGTGTTTATTTAAACGTGACTGTTGCGATGACATTAAACTTAATAAAAAGCAAACAAATGGACACAAGAATTACCTCATTCTGTCGTATACTGATATACCTCTTTCTGCCATATACTGATATACCCCTTTCTGCCATATACTGATATAGCTCTTTCTGTTATATACTGTTATATACTGCTATACCTCTTTCTGCCATATACAGATATACCTCATTCTGTCATATACTGATATACCGCTTTCTATCATCTACAGGTATACTCCTTTCTGCCACATACTGATATACCTCTTTCTGCCATACACTGATAAACCTCATTCTGTCATATACTGATATACCTCTTTCTGTCATATACTGATATACCTCTTTCTGTCATATACTGATATACCCTTTTCTGTCATATATTGATATACATCTATTCCTTCTCTCATCTCTTTTGACCTCTCAATACGATCAGTAATCTGTGTTTGGTATTTATACACGTCCAAATCACGTTTCTGAAGTTTTGATGCAAGGGGTTTTACTGTCTGCAGAACGGCCCTCACGCAGATGAACGTTATCAAAAATTGGTACGACATCAGTATAGCCAGCAACCCCTGTGCTGTAATTTTAGTTTGAGCACCCCACGACCACTCATCTTGAGTGTTTTCCTCAAGCTCTGGGTTTAAGATGGACCGGATATATTCAACGATGGCAGTATACATGCTATAGAATACATCATAGCAGGTATGACGTTCTACCCCTCTTGTTTTACACTTTTTACGCTTTGAT